GCGGAGACGGGCGCCGGGCGCTGCGCGCTGAGCCCCGCAGGTCGGTCGCAGCCCGAGCTCGGCGAGGACAGGCCGGGGGCGCGTGGGGTCGGCTGATGATGGCGGATCGGACAGCTCCCGGCGGCCGGCTGCGGCTGGAGTGGGTGTACGGCTACCGCGGGCACCAGTGCCGCAACAACCTGTACTACACGGCCGGCAAGGAGGTGGTCTACTTCGTGGCCGGGGTCGGCGTCGTGTACAACACCCGAGAGCACAGCCAGAAATTCTTCTTGGGACACAACGACGACATTATCAGGTACGCGGCCGGGAGAGCGGTGGGTGTGGAGGCTGGAGTGCGGGTGCGGGGTGGACCCCAGCTGGGCTTTTCCGGAGTCGGATGCAGGAGCCCCCGCGCCAGGAAGGATTCTGTGTGGACAAGGACTACTGGTTGGGAAGCCCGGGTGAAACAGCGCGGGGCTGGTGGCGGTGCAGGGGAAAGGGAATCTCTTCGGAGTGCGCGTCCCGGTGGTTTCCGTGTTTATTCCTGCTACAAGTGGGAAGATCCCGGGAACTACCAGCCACTTCTCCGTCCCCCCTGAGTAAAGGTGGGCCCACCACCTGAGCGCTGGGTCTGATCTTTGGGATGCGTCCAGGGAGGCTTCTCAATTAGTAAAAGAATCGCAAGGGAAAAAATTAAAAACCCTCAAGGAAATTTTGCTACAGGTAATTTGGAATTTCAATCCCGGTGCTCTGAACTGGGTGGGTGGGGGGATCACAGCAGAAGGTAATTCGTCTCTTTTGAAGCATTTCACTTGGTATGTGGTGATGCCCCAAAGCAGGTGTGTGTGCTTAATGGCTACTCCCTCCACCTGCGCTGCGGTTGTTGTGGCGTGGATGTTGGCTCGTTGCAAAGGGAAACCTTGTGGAACTAGGGTTTCCAAGGCTGCTGCTTGCGGGTGGCTTGGCTGGGTTGGATGGTCCACTGACTTTTCTTTCCTAGCAGCCGAGCACTTTAACCACTGTGTCCCTAGGCCTCTTTTCTGCAACATCTGTGAGATTTTAAAAGGTTGACAGAGGCTGGGCGAGAAAAACAAAAACAAAACAAACTCCCAGGCAGCCCACAGAATGACCAGCAGCTGGTGGGACTCAATCGCAGATGAATAGGGACCTCCATACTTTCTCAGATTCTTGTGTGACCCAACCAGGTGTGGTCCCGATGGACTTTTTTCAGCCTTTGGCTGTTAAGATTTCCATGATTGGGAAGTTTCAGCCCACAGGGAAAATGCCATTGTGAGGATGGGCACCTGAGAGAAAACCTTCCAAATGTGAATGTATTCATGATAGAAAACCACTTTCCTTACATCTTCAGGATATTGCCACTTTTGCTCTCAGTCTGCCTTTCGCAATGAAGTGAATGATTAAGTGGTATAATATGGTGTCATGTCTATGGTCTTAATTTCCTAGCGGGGAGAACAATTTGAAAGACAAGCCCTTCTTTGGCTGCTGCTTCTGGTATTGCGCTTATGCTTCAATGCCTTTTTTTTTAAAGTTAGAAACGTAATATTTGAAAACACAGTGGGATATGTACACACACACACATACACACACACACACACACACACACACAAAACAAAGGGCTAAGTACTAGGAGTGCTACCATTCCCAATATGAGGCAGAACTTTGTTCTTGTGACAGATGACCGAAGAGCTTTTCTGCTCTCCCACATGGCAGTAGGCTGTGGTGGGGGGCATCCTTACCTGGTCCTACCTCCAGAGATTGGGCTTCTTTAATTGCCAGGATGATTATTAAAATCACAGGTGCAAACGACTAAGAGTGCCTTGTGAAAGGTTAGCTGTTTAAACATTTAAGCCCATTCTGTTTTTGCTCTGTCTGTCTGAATACAGTACTTTCCATTACAGCATCAAAATAAGACCTAGTGCCCCAGGGGAAGGAAGACAGTGGCAATTACATACAAAACTCCCTGGGGTTCAAGAATATTAATGTGACAGTTCACTGAACTACTTGGTGTGTGGGGCATCCGAAATCCTAATCCTCTCACGGGGTTGAGGGGACTCCCACCGTGGGGAGTGTGGGGAGAGGGTGGGGTTGCAGCAAACCGGTGCTAAGAAAGCAGGCCGCTGGGCTAGTGTGATGTGATGACATCGGGTTTGGGTGGTTTCGGTTAGATTTGAAGAAAAGGTGAATGAAGTTATTTGTGTAACTGGATTTGCAGGGAGTCTGAATGGGAAAGAGAGAGAGAAAGACGGCCTGTCTTCTGGCCTATATTATGGTAGTTATCTCTTAAAGCTACACAATGCCATCTTCTGAGAAAGGCTGTCTTCTATAATCTTTGGTCGGGTCTGAGTCTGTATGTCCAGGTGAGCAGAATTCTCTATATCTCTTATTAGAAACCCTTTTCACACTGAAATAAAGCCAAGCAAATGAAAGAGCACACACCATCGATCACTGTGTAATTTAGATCGTTAAAATTAGAATGTCTGTGTGATTATCTTGCTTTATTTCATATATCCCCCTCTTTCTGGTGAGGGCAGTGCATAAATCTGATTTGTTTTTATCCTGAGTATGTGGGGACTCTGAAGATACTTTTTTTTTTTGTAATTTCATTCCCAGAAACATATTAGTTGTTTGAAATTAACCCTGTAACATGTTGAGAATATTTGTACATTAACTGTACTGATGATATATTCCATTATCTTTACGAATTTCCACTCATTTCTGTTTATCCTACTATAGAACTGTTTGCATTTGAAATATTGAAGTTTTTCATTGAACAGAAAGGATGATAGCAAAGGTTTTAATATTTCAGGTTATTAAATATTAAAATATTTTAAAGGAATTTTTTGGGTTTGGGGGAATGATCACATAAATATTAAAATGTTTAACTCTTCACTCCATCAGGTAGTCTCATGTAAGTCATCATCTATTTGATACTTTGTTTTTGCACTGGTTTAAAAGAATTCATATGCTTACATTTCCTACTGTGTGCAGCTTTGCTGAGAACGCCAGTGGAGGGCAGCCCGAGAAATAGGGGTGAAACACACCTGTTCTAGAAAACTGTGCGATCCGGAGAACACCATGAGCCTTCCAGTAATGTGGAATCTGGCAGACCCATGGGAGCTCAGCCGGTGTGCCCTTTCACTTTGACGGGCAGCGTGTTGGAGTCAGAGTTTTCACGGTGTTGGCATGCAAGGCATAATGTGATGTGGAGACGTATTCTCTTGAATGATTGCCCTTCAATACAGATAAGAGAGTAGAGCATGATGCCGTATGTAGGCTCCGATACCACTGTGAAGGGATGCCAGTGCTCAGAAGCAATGTTTGCTCTTGGGCAAACAGCAGTGCTCGACTGCTTGCAGGCCGAGGCTTGGCTCTGACTTCAGGGAGCAGCACAGACGACACAGACACACAGCGAGGGAGGGACAAGCTGGGGAACAGGCGTGCTCTCTGCCATCTCCCTCCCATTTCCAGGTGACCCCCCTACCTCCTGACTCTTGACTGCCACCGGCTTCTGACTAGCTCCCTGGCACCGTTGTCTTCCTTCCACCCTTGCAGGGGACGCTTCCTGCAGACCACTTTTGACTTTGACCTTACACAGTCCAGTATGAATCCCACTCTCTCGTTTACTCCAGGCATCCGATTGAGGGCACAACCACACCAAGACTCAAACAAACTCACTGGTGTCTGGTTGATGCCGACTCATCGTGACCCTGTAGGGCAGGGTCGGCTACTCCTGTGAGTTTCTGAGACTGTAACTCTGTAAGGGAGTAGAAAGCCCCAGGGCATAACCTTTATACCTCCAGGACTCTTTGTTTATTTGTGAAATGGGCGATAGTCCCCAACTTTCAGAGTTATAATTAGAAATATATTTGAAATAATCTGTGTAAAGGATTTAGCCTTGGTCCTGGCCTTTGGTTGGTATGCAATAAATGTTCTTAATTATGGTAGTAATATTTAATGACACCCCCCAAAACAACCCCACAATGATTCCTCCTTACCCACAGATTAAAGTCCAAATTCCTTATCTCCTCATCTTCTCTGACCCTTGCCTACCTTTCTTACTGTGTTTAGTTGGGTACATTAGAGAAACAAATCCAAAGAAAAGTATATGTATAACGAGAGAGTTTTATATAAAGGGTAAGTGTACATTAAGAAAGCATCCCAACCTATCCCATCCCAAGCCCGTAACTCCAACATTAGCCCATATGTCCGACACCGATTTACAGTTATCCTCAATCTCACAAAACACATGCAATGACGCCGACTGCAGGAGGAAAGCCAAATCAGTGAGTGTGTAAGCATCTCAGAGCTGGCAGGGGTCTCCACATGGCTGCTCCAGCACCTAGGGCTGCATCAGGGTAGGTCCATGTGGCTTCTCCTCAGGGATGTCTTGCAGGAAGTGAGCCTTGCCAACTGAAGCAGGGAACTGGCTAAGGCAGCTGGTCCGACCATCACAAAGCAAGAGACCTGAGAACTAGAAAGGCGAGGCTCACGGAGCCATTTATCTCTCTGCCCTTCAATTAACCCACATGTGTCTATCTGCCAGATTGGCACAATAAACCTTAACTATCTCACTTTTATTTTCCTTTAAAAAAGAAAACAAGCCAGAAAGCAGGCCACATATCGTTTGCTTCCCACTCTCTATAGAAGATCACCCTGTACTTTCCTGCGTTTCTCCCCACGCCCTATGGGAACATGGGTTTGGTAAAGTCACACAGACCAGTTGAGCCACCTGGACAAACTGAACCTGAGTCTCTGCTACATTGCCCTTAGACACTTTATCACCAATGCAGTGACTTGTAAAGTTTGTCCATTGTAGTCTAAGAAGCCCTGTTGGTGGCAGAGTGGACTAGCCACTGGGCTGCTGACCACAACTCATCTGTTCAAACCCACCAGCTGTTCCTCAGGAGAAAGAGGAGGCTTTCTACTCCCATAAAGACGAGCTGTCTCAGAAGTTCGACGCCGAGGCAGTTCTGCTCTGTCCTACGGGGTCCGGACAGCTCAGAATGGACTTGGTGGCAGTGGGTTTGAAGTTCACCTTGTAGTTTGTTTTTCGGTGGGGGGGGGGCGAAGGGGATACTTGCCGTTCTTGTAAAGACGGACAGCCTCAGAAACCTACAGGACAATTCTGTCTGACAGGGCCACCATGAGCCAGAATGGACTGATGGCAGTGAGTTTTGATTTGAGTTGGTTGAGGAGATTACATAAGAGGTGCCCCCACAGTGTTTGTCCACCACAGTGGGGCTGCTTGTCCGTGGCCTGCATGGTCTTCCCAAGACAGCCCCACCCCTCCACGAGACCTTCGACTGCTCTTGGGGGAAGGGACTCCTTGTACTGCTAA